TTCTTTTGTTTTTCCCAGGTTCTAGCCAGTTCTTTCCCAGTTTCAAGGAACTAAGGAAGAGGAATGTTGCAAGAGCCTGTTTAGACTATGAAATGCTAGGATGATTTGAAGAAGGAGCAACTTGTGAGAAATGCCACACACGTTGGGCCACAACAATTTGAGGAAGGGAGGCATTGAATCTGTGGGGCTCGATGTAGTCACCTCTGGCTGATGAAACTAAAGAGCCCATCTAAGTCATGATGTGCTGTAAGGATAACATCCTTACTAGATTTAGAAGATAGTATAGCAAAGAACGTAAAAACACTTCATTGCAAATTGCTTCATATGTAGTAGGTATAAACATGATAATATTTAGATCCATTTAACACAACTAGGTTATTTAAAATATTTTCAGCTGTTTCTTTCACCTTTTTAAGATGGCTACCAGAAAATTTTAAATTACTGTATAATGTGCAGTCTATTCTTGCTGCAGGCTCTCTTCTGGGCTTTGTTTTTGCCCTGGTATCAGCTGAGCTTGGATGCTGAAGCCTTTTTCATTTATCCTGTGCCACTCAGATCCAGCAGCTCTTTATTCTGTTTCCCACCAACACCACTAAAGGGTGGTAAGCCCTCCCTGCTGGCTCAGCGGGTTAAGGCACAACACTGCAAGCAGGCTGCAGCCATTTCAAGTGTGAGTTTGATCCCCAGCCCCGGAGTGTGACCCACATGGCACAGCAGACCTCTCCTGATCTGCCTGCTGCTCCCCTCAGCTGTGTACTTCGTCAATCTGCCTGTTCTGCTCCCCACTCTGTCTCTGGTGACTCTTCTCACCACCTTTGCACCTCTGTCCTGTACCCCTGTTCTGTATGCATAAATAAATAAATCTTTAAAAAAAGAAAAAGTGGGCCCTCCCTGGTGGCGCAGCGGGTTAAAGCACAGCACTGAGAATCAAAGCCGCTTCCGCATGAGTTCGATCCCCACCTGCCCCGGAGGTGACTCACATGGTGTGGCAGACCTCTCCTGACCCGCCCGCTGCTCCCCTCAGCAGTGTACTTCGTAGATCTGCCTGTTCTGCTCCCCTCTGTGTCTCTGGTGAAACCTCTCGCCGCCCCTGAGCCTCTGGCCTGTACCCCAGCTCTGTACGCATAAACAAATACATCTTTAAAAAAAAAAAAAGAAAAGAAAAAAGAAAAAGTGATGAGGGGTGAGGGCATTCATTGTCCCTCAGGCCGCAGAGGTTGCTCAGGGTTACATGGAGTTCCAGCACATCTGCTTTCCTCCAAAGACCTCCTGTGCCCGTGACTGAGCATCACCTGGAAGCCCTCCTCCCCCATATCTCCTTCACCTGCTGTCACCATCATTGTCATCACCTCTGCTGTCACTCTCCTCCCCCTTGGTTTCTCCCTATTCTCACCACCCTCATCATCACCACCTGCATCCTTCTTGTCTGGTGGACTATCTCCTCCCTGTAACAGCATCAGCTGTCTTCCTTGCTGCATCCAACCCCTAAGCCCTCAGGAGCTGAGTATTGCAGGCTGGGCTCCCACCTTCCATCTGGTGGCTGGGTCTAGAGTCATCACACTGCAGGGCTTAGGAGACCCAGGTAGCTGCCCTGGAAGGGGTGAGGCTGCATCCCCCTGCAGAAGCTGTTGTCAGACCATGTTGCTCGAGGATTTTGCCCCTTTTGGTCACCCTTCCTTGAACTCTTTGGCTCTGCTTCGCCATCAGTCACACCATTCACTCCCTCGTTCACTCACTTCTTCAGTAGGCATAAGCCGAAACGTACCAGCTGTTGGCTCCCACTCCATATCTAGCTGTCAAGCCACATGGTAGACCCTGGCCACCACAGGTGCATAAACCACAATTCCTAAACCCCAGAGATCTTACAGGTTTCAGGGCCTCAGAGAGACATGAAGAAATCTAACTCTGTCATCAGAGCCCACTCCTGTTCTCCAGGCAGAGAAACTGAGGCCAAGTAAGAGGGACAGCATGGGGTGAGTTTCAAATCTCTCCTGATTCAACAGGGCAAGTAAGAGTCAGCTTGGATTCTCTAACCAAATCAGGATGTGTCGTGCAGCCCACCTTTCCTGCCACATGGAGCGCACCCATGGTGTCCCTGCTTGTCCACAGGTCCTGGTGACCTGCTTTTTGCCTTCACTCTACTGGCTGCCCTCACCATGCGAAGTGGGATCGCCCACACCCCAGACTCTGCCGCTCTGGAAACTCTGCTTAACTCGGGACATCCACACCTTGTATCCTTCCAAATGGGTGTGCTCAGTGTCCACACTACTCAAAGGCTGCTTAGTACATGTTGTTAAATTCCAAACAAGCATGTATTACTTCCCCCAACCAATGGTGAACTTCTTAAAGGCAAAGAGGAGCTGTGCATTTTGCGACTTACTCTGTCTTTCCCAATCTCTCAGCATTAGGTAGCAACCTCCGTCTCTGAATCATCTGACAAATGGTGGTGATCTGATCTACTGAGCAGACGTGTGTGTGTATGTTGGGACATGCACGTGTGTGTGTGTGTGTGCGCCTGTTTTGTATCCTGAATCAGTGTGGCTAGCAGGGATGCTTGCGAGTTCCATATCCGTGTAAGCACATGCGTGGGTATGTGGGGATGAAATCTCCAGCGATTACAGTTACAGGAGCTTAGACACACATCAGCACAATCCGTCAATTTCCAGACACTCTCTCTCATGGCAATTTCCTGCCAAATCTTTGACTTGCAATTAAGAAAGCAGATAATTTGAAGCATTTTCCTCTGCATGTTGAGATGGATTATAATCCTAATTTGATAAAGACTCTTAATGAGTCATTAGCCACCCTTGGCTTCTCCTCAGGTCAGCCAACTTCCCAGGCGCTGGGAGGCAGCCATGCTCAGACCATTACATGTTATTGGCTTCGGCAGCACTAAAACAAAAGACAACAAAGCCACACCAAAGACACACAACAAAGACACACCAAACCTTTTGAATTCTTTTTTCTGCAGCTCCAAGATTTGAGTACCAATATTTTTTCCTGCCTTGGAACAAAGCCTGTAATTTCCTGACAACAAAATGCCGCCCCCGGGGTCTTTGCACTTGGCCAAAAGTGGCAGACACAATGCATTGTAGACCTCCCCCACGTGGGTCCTCACAGAGATGGTCATGATCCTTAAACCTCTGCAACTCATAACACAATTTGTTTCCTAGAATATGCTCCCCAAGACCAAAGCTGGGGTTCCTGGAAGCAATAACGATTTCAAGTCTTTTACAGAAAATGATCCTACAGCACTCCCTTTTCTGTTTTTGGTGATCAGGGGTCAGAAAGCACAGAAAACCATTTGGAGTTTAGCCTACCCATTTCCTTCCTTCCAGACAGAGTGAGACATCTTTCAGCCCCAGGCTTAGATAATTAAATGCTTCAGAAGCCCAAGTCCTGGTTCCCCTTGGGTCACCCACTCTAGAATTTAAGAACCCCTATTCATGTGTGGACTCCAGTGGCCACGTGTGCAGCACACATGCGTGCACAACTCGCCATAGACTAGCAGGTGGGACAAACCCCAGCGCACCCACAAGCACAGAGGCAGGATGTGAGGAATGGTCTGATTCGTCCTTGACCATGAGATCAGGAAGGGAGTCAGGAAGAAAGGGAGGCTAAGTCAATCAGTATGTATATGTCTTTGCTGCCTGCCTACTACGTGCCAGGAACACCGCTAGGCGCTGTGGGACCATGGTGCACAGGCAGGATGGAGAAGCCGGTGGTGATCGGAGGTGATAAGACAGGTGGAAGCTGCATTGTGGGTGCGAGGGTGGCATCCCTAGTCACACTCAGCCTTCTGAGCGATCCCTCCGAGGCCCTCCCCCATGACTGCACTCATCCAGTCGCCTCTCTACTCTATTTCTGCTGTCACCAGGCAGGCTTGGGGTGAGATAAAAAGCCTCCACTCCCCCCACTCCACTCTGCCCTGTGCATTCGATCAATGTGACAAATGCTCTTTGGGCAGGACCCCTGAGGCTGTCTCCTCTGCCACCCACCCCTCCTTCCTTCCCAATGAGTCCAGGGAGATCTGAGCAGAGGGGTGATGGATAGCCCTGTCTTATTGTTCCAGGCTCTGAATCCAACAGGGGCCTGGGAGAGCTGTATAAATCAGAGCCTGGGCTGGGCTCTTACCAGCTCGATGACTCGACAAGAGGAATGGAAGGCAAGGGACCATAAAACTGTCTATGGGCTAAGTCGTTTCAACTCAGGGCCAGGGAGAGAAAATGTTTGGTTCTTGGGAGCCAGGACTCATTGGAGGAGGCTAGGTGGGGCTGCTGGCCTGGATGCTGAGAGGGGGCTGAGAGACAGGGCCCACAGGAGGACACTCACCGTTCCTCACCTCTGGTGCCCCCGCTTTCCCACCACCCAGGAGGTAGAGGGGGCACAGTGCAAAAAAGCACAGACCCATTGGGCCCTGCTCTCAAGGAGTTCATAGGCTAGTAGGAGAGACAGGTAGGGGGCAAGGGGTGTACCCCTACATCCATAGCATGTAATTCAATACCCTTGGTCACAGCGCCTATGAAAAAAGTGCTGCACTGGGCCCTCCCTGATGGTACAACAGGTTAGGACACAGCACTGCAAGCTAGCCACAGCCACTTCTGTGCAAGTTCCATCCCCTGGCCCGGAGGTGACCCACATGGCATGACAGACCTCTCCTGACCCACCCACTGCTCCCCTCAGCAGTGTACTTAGTCAATCTGCCTGGCCTGTTCTGCTTCCCTCCCTGTCTCTGGTGAATCCTCTCACGGCCCCTCACCTCTGGCTTGTGCCCCAATTCTGCATGCATAAATAAATAAATCTTTAAAAAAAAAAGAAAGAAAGAAAAAAGTGCTGCACTACCGATTTACTTGTCATTCTCTCACTAGACTAGAAGCTCCTTAAAAGAGGAAAAGAGAGTGAATGAATACTTGAGGCCCACTAAGCTACCTTTAGGGACTCAATTCACTTCCACCATCACAGTTCATAATAGACTTTATTGTCCTTGCTTTATAGGTGAGAAGTCTGAGACCCACAGAGTTTGTGCGACTTGCCCAGGGCCAAAGTGAGTACATGGGAGACTGGGACTCAGGCCAAGCCCCGGTGTCCCCCACACCCTGCTCAAGGTCTCCCTCATCCTGTGTCTCCAGCATCTGCCTTGCTGCGATTGTGGGAGGAGAGAGAGGAGGCTGAGTGTGTGAGTCACACTGCGTGGGTGGCTGGTGGGTCAGCAAAGACTTTGCAGAGGAAGTGATTACAGAACAGTTTTAAAGACAAATGGATTTTGCCAGAAATGACAAAAGATGAGAGTAAAATAACATATGCAAAGTGACATGGAGGCATAAAATTGTTTGGTGTGTAGTGACACCATGCCCCCCCCATCCCCCACCCCCACCGCCCCAACTCTCATTCTGGGATCAAGAAATGGGAGCTCAGCAGTTGGTTAAGAACCAGACGGATGGTAATGGTACGACAGGCCCTCTATCCTGGAGTTTGGTGTTTTTATTTTGCTGTCATCTTTCCCAGACTATACAATCCAGATAGGATCCATCTGACTGTGCTCACAAGTGAAACTCCAACATGGAGAGTGGTCCCTGACTCATTTTAGGATGAGTGGTAGAAGTGGACCAGGAAAAAAAGGTGTTTTCTTTATCACTGACCTTCCATGAGGCTGGTATCATTGGCCAAACTTGGAGCCCTTCTTGCTTGGGGACAGGGAAAATCATTGTAAGGTCAGAAAGGCATTGAGAAAGGACTCAAGGAGGGGTGGGGAAGTTATTTGAACAGTTGGTGAAAGCCAGCTCTGTCTTCTCTGCCTCTTTCTCTAGTCTACAAACTAAAACCAAGATATGAGATCAGAGGAAGGGGGCCATGGAGCAGATTTTGGGCCTACCCCAAAGATCCTTCTAGGGCAAATATTTGAGGAATACCTATACTGAAGGAGTAACATGAACATATTCTCTTTTAGAGACACCTAAAAGGGAATATGAAGGGCTGTGAGACCCCAAATGACATCCAGTTGCCCCCACTTTCTTCTCTAACTTAATGGCCTCCACCCCAAAGAAGCCTATGGCTCACCAGACTGACCTTAGAAACTACAAAGGTGTTAACCAACGGTAAGAATGGAAAGAAAAAACAGTCAATGTGAGAGTTTCACAGTCACTTTTTAACACAGGAGGAGGGAAGAGTAGAAACAGATGCAAAAGAGATTTGAAATCACAAACCCAAACTCATGGTGCTGGTTGTTCCATGTGAGAAGCCCTGAGAGAATCACTTTGGCGGGGGACAGGGGGATGAATAAAGTCCCCAGCCTTCCCACAGAACCAATCGACCAGACTCCCTCTGTCTAGGAAACAAGAGGTTCTTATCCTTTGAGATACTGAATAAGAATAATATTGGACTTGAGAATACCAACTGTAATGGAAGATGAAGGGAATTAAGGAGAGGACTGAAGGCTGTAACAGTGTGATCTTTAGACCTGTCTTAGCCCTTAGAGAAATTGTCTGCACCACCAGCCCTAGCAGGTTAGAAGATTCTGATAGGCCCTGAGAGCACTCTAGTTACTGACATCCAAAGTTCCCTCAAAAAGATTCATTTTCTACCTGATCATCTTAGGGGGGACCCATTAATCAATAAACTCTGTCACTTACTACCAAAGAATCCCACATCAACTTATAGTGCCTCTTTCTTAAATAAGAATAAACGGCCAGATATTTGAAGAAAGCACAAATGGAAAAAAAGAAAAAGAGAGAAAGAAAATAAAAAAGGGAAAAATAAGACATTGCAGGTTATAGAGTTCAAAAAGCAATAATACTAATTTAAAATAGTAAGAGGGAATGTTAACTGCATAAAACAAGAAGAGATTATATTGAAAATGGAAAATATTAAATGAGAAGATCTCTTTGAAATTAAAAATTAATTTTAAATTTTCCTAAAAAAATTGTAAAATAAAGAAAAGAAAATGACTGTCCAGTGCCTTGGTTATTTGCATGCTCTCTTTGCATGACCACAGATGTGACTAAGATAGAACTCTGCTGCCTCGTTATATTTTTCAGGTTGTACCTCATTTTACATCCTTGACCTCTTTGGATCACCATCTCCTCACTAATAAAAGATCATTTTTGTGGCCCTCCCTGGTGGTGCAACAGGTTAAAGCACTGCACTAAGAAGCTGAAACCACTTCTGCATGAGTTCGACTCCCTCCTGCCCCAGAGGTGACCACATGGCGTGACAGACCTCTCCTGACCCGCCCGCTGCTCCCCTCAGCAGTGTACTTCGTAGAGTCTCTGACCTGTTCCCCAGTTCTGTATGCACAAATAAGTAAATCTTAAAAAAAAAAAATAAAGATCATTTTTGTGGGAAAAAAAATTTTCCTCAAAGCTCATAAGTTGAGCTATCCCCAAAGGGTAAGGCAAAAGGGAAAAAGATGAATAACAGAAGAAAAATAAAGGACATTAGTCTCTTGATTAGCTCAAAGCAAACAATAAAAAGAAGACCTACCACAAATACCCAACACCATCATTGTTATGATGCTTGACACCATAAGGGGTCAGTATCTTAAATCTTCTAATGAGAAAAGAACAGGAAACAAAACCAAGAATTAAAATATTAAACTGGGCCATCCCTGGTGGTACAACAGGTGAAAGCACAGCACTGGATAGGTGCCTGCAGCCACTTCAGCACAATTTTGATCTTCCACCAGAGAGGTGACCAACATGATGTAACAGATCTTTCCTGTCTTGCCCACTTGGCTCCCCTCACCAGTGGACTTCATTAATCTGTTCTGCTCCCCACTCTGTCTCTGGTGAATCTTCTCACAGCCCTTGCATCTCTGGCCTGTACCCTACTTCTGTATGCATAAATAAATAAATCTTTAAAATTAAAAACAACAAAAAAAGACATCAAACTTCTTCAAAAGCAACATCAAATGTTAAAAGATTGCAGATAACTGCCTTCTAAATTCTGAAGGAAAATATTTTTTAATCTAGAATTCTATGTCCAAACAAATTATTAATTACATGGAAATGTATTCTAGAGATAATTTCAATCATTAGTGATGAGAAACTTACCTCAAAAGCACTCGTTCTTGGGAAGTTATTGAAGGACAGGATTTGAAAAAGTTGAATGATAGTCTAAGAAAGAAAACAGGGAATTCGGGAGACAAAAGACCAACTACAGGAAAGCAGTAAAGAAAATATTCAAAATAATACTAAAGTAAAACCTCAGGATGACAACCATATAGTATTCCAATTTCCAGACCAACCAATCCAAACTAGAGCAAAACAGAAATTTCTTGGAGAGCTAATTGTAGGGGGAAAAGATGGAACAGATAAGTTTGGCTACATGAAACATAATATTGACAGATATTATGAGTTGTTGAACCATTTGAAAAAATTAATTATAAGCAAACATGGACACTAGATCAATAAACATGGAGGCAATTGTTATCTCCAGGAAGAACAAAGGATTGTACAAAAGGGGACATATGATCAGAGTGTACTATTGGCTTGGTAGTAAAGCATTAAGTATAAGCATTAGTGCATACGTTTATAAATTGTTAAATTAGCCATTTAACAAAAAGAGAATTTTATGTTGGAAATGGAAAGAGAGAAAGTGCAGGGATAGAGTTGGGTGAGAACTAAGTTCTCAGCTACCACAGTAGAAAGTCAATATATTGTAATATTGCATTGAGCAACCCCCACACTGATAAAGAAATGGGAGTCATGGAGCCAGCTACATAATGCAGGATGGTGCTGAAACGCAAGATCCTGGCGCCTTTTTATTGATAAACCAGTCATATAGCATTAGTCATATGAGGAAGTAGAAAAAGAGAGGGAGAAGTAGAAGAAACAGGGGAAGGGTGAAACTAGATTTCCCATTTGCTGATAGCTTGGTATGTAGATCAAGCCCTGACTTCCCAGTCAGGATTTCAATCTTATCAATAAGGCTTTCCACTGATCAGCTTCTGGGGTCCTTCCTTATACATCAGTCAATGGCCCCCAAACTTTCCTGGTCATACCTCATGGTGTATAACCTTCCCAGGGTGATCTAGCTTTATGCTCTTAATTGATATGAAAGTTACCTCGTATGGTTGGGCTCCTATGACATGCAGTTCTGACCTTGCTTTAGGAATACAGAACTTTAGGTAATAAAGTGGAGGCTGGATAAGCTATCTAGCATTAGCAGACCCACAATATAATTTCTGAAATTGGGAAATTAAAAAATGCTAGTATAAGCAATTTTAAAACATGGCAATATTTACAAATGAGATTGGTATGTGGAGAAGTGAGGCAAAGCAACTATTGATTTCCAAACTATGCATTCTTGATTAAAATAAAAATTAAACATTTGAGAATGGGTCCCATGGCTCAAACAGTCCAGCTGAAGCTTCTCAGGATATGAGATCAGATGATGATTTGGAGCCAAGAGTGGCCACAACTGTGTGCTAGGATCAAACACATCACTCTATTTCATGTCACTGCCTGCTCGTTACTCTGATTAGAATGCCCCACTAAACAAGTCTCCTAAGCCCCCAACTTGGGGAATTTCTCTTCAACCTTTAAAACTCTTCTACCTGGCCCTCCCTGGTGGCGCAGCGGGTTAAAGCACAGCACTGAGAATCTGAAGCCACTTCCGCATGAGTTCGATTCCCGCCTGC